GGCTCTTCTCCCCTCCAGAACACGTCATGCCTCTCTGTCCCCACCTCCCAAGTAAGGCTTCCCCTGGATGACCCCATCCCACACTGAACCCCCTCATCCCCATCTGAATCTTGCAGCAGGGAACTGACTCTTTGGGGAACCACCCTGCACTGTCTCTCCGCCCATCCAACGCGGGCTGCCTCAAGGGTGAGGAAAAGGGTTAAGAGTGGAGCCTCTGAGGCCAGACTGCCAGGTTCAAATCTAGAGCTGGGAGAACTGGCAAAAGTTCCCACTTTGATCTTAGCTGCTGTTTGTGCACCTCATACAATGGGAGTTAATATGCTTCCTCTCTCACAGGGCTGCATGAGAAATAAAGTGAGGAAATGCACGTGAAGTTCTTGGTACAAAGCCTGGTACCTAGCAGACACTCAAATGATGACTATCAATGGTGGTGATGATGTTGACAGTGACTCCTGGATGCATGCTGGAAGTTCGCACCCATACTTCTGCTCTGCTGTGGGCCACTTACCTTCTCCCATCCTCAGTTCGTTTGATTGTCAAAGAAGATAATGAGCAACTTCTTTGAACATGGAGACAGCCACCAACAAGCCAAGGGAGAAGCCTGGAACAGATCCTTCCCTCAGAACCCTCAGAAGGAACCAGCCGTGCTAACACCTCACTTTCAGACTCGCAGCCTCCAGAACTGTGAGACAATACATGTCTGTCGTTTGAGCACCCAGTTGTGGTTCTCCGTCATGGGGCAGCCCTACAACGAATGCAGCCTTGCTGAGAAGACCGGAAAGGAGGAGGGAAGCCAGCTACACGAACACCTGAGGGGGAAGCCTTGCTGGCAGAGAGCTGAGCAAGTGCACTTGGAGGTTAAGGACCGACAAGGGGCCGGGAGTGGCTGGAGCCAGTGGGTGAGGGGAGAGAAGCAGACCAGACAGAACTCTGCCAGACCACTTAGAGCCTGGATGCTTCCTCTAACTCCCAGGAGAAGTCACCAGAAGGTTTCAGAGAGTGACATACTCTGACGTGGGTTACCACGAGATGGCTCTGGCGATTTGAGTTTTCAACTGACCTAGGAGGGGAGAGGGCGGTAGCAGGGAAATGACTTAGGAAACGTTGAGAATCATCCAAGCAAGACACTATGGTGATTCCGCTGGGCGGTGGCATGGGGTGGTATGATGTAGGATGATTCTAGATGTATAGACAAGGTAGGTCTGAGAAACTTTGCTGCCATGTGGAGAAAAGGAGTCAAGATTAACCCTAAGGATTTGGGCTTGAGAGATTGGAATGATAAGAGTTGCAACTGACGCGAATGAGAAAGACCTCAGAGGTAGCAGGTTTGAAGGAGACTCTTAAGAACCCAGTTTGGGATGGACTGGGTTGGAGATGTCCACTGGACACGGGCAGGAATCAAAAGGAGTTTCTTTACAACAGCTCTGGCTTCTGTGCTAGATCTTCTGGCCCTTCAACCATCCATTTCTTGGATTTTTTTAAGTCAAAGGTGAAAGCTGGGGCACTGTGTCAGATGAGGCTATGCTCTTGGTTGACTTTAAATAATGATCCTTCAAACCTCCAGGTCCATGCTCTAAGCATTCCTGGCACAGACATGCAGATAACTTTGGCGCACAGAACCTTTTCAAGTTCCACCAAACATACCCCCACCCCTGGTGGGGCATCAGGTCATCTCGTGGGGCCCCCCACGGAGGCCCCTGACGTTCTTCCTCTGTCAACCACACCTCAACTGCGACTGCACAGGTTCGCTGGTGCTGCCTTCTGATTTAGGCTTTCCCTCCCAGAAGAAATGCAGAAAAACGAGTTGCAGTTTTGTCCACACAGGTTCCGGAGGCTGCAGTTAGCCAAGGTGAAAGACGACGTATCTAAATCCTGGGGAGCCAACTTTAAGGCAGTCCCAGACTTTCGATTCAAATTTTCCATTATGCAGTCAGAAACAAACGTTATCCTTTATGAGAAATAACCTTTTATCTTCAGAACATTCCTGCGAGAGAGGAATTTTTATCTACAAAATGCCCAGCTCAGCACACAGTGCGCCGTCAGGACCAAAACGTGAGACATTAGCGACATCTGGTGGGCATGTGCCGATCCTGCGCAGCATCTACGTCCGTTGTCAATGCGTGTTCTTCGAGGCCCTGGGGTAAATCAAAGGACACAGTGAGGCTCTGTGGTGAATAAGAGGCAATGGCTTGGCTGCTCTGCCTTACCGGGCCACGGTCCAGTGGGTTCGTATTTTCTGTT